ATCAATGATTTCTACTGTTTTCTTTGTAAATGAAAATTTATAGAAATTATTACCCTATAGAGTTAAGTAAAGCACGCTACAAATTGCACATCAAAATTATAATTAAATTATTATAATTAGTATTTTATGGACATTTTCATTAGATATTAATTATTGAGAAGTTAAAAACATTACCCAAATCACAATAAGATAAATAATAGATAACGACTGATGTCTGGTACAGTATGTCTCAATAAGTTATGTCAGAAAACTTCAGTAGAACATGTAGCCTAATATCAAACACATTGAGAAAAAAACATTGTATTGTCAAATTGCTATAGCAATATTTTTAATTTGTTCTAAAAAATAAAGTTATTTGATGAAATTAGCACAAAAAAGTAACTCTAAGTAGGTATGTATAAATTACTTTACATAGAAAGGTAAGGTAACTGTTTCAAACTAGTTTTGTAACAGTAACTTGTAACAAAAGATAAGTTGAACCTAGTGGTAACAGTAATTTCATCACAATCATCCGACATGGTTTAAAAACACAATTTGTAACCACACCAGTAATGCATTTAATTTCTTATCTGACTTTTAATTCAATTTATTCGTGCATAACTGACAGTCCGCAGTCTGATTCAAAGTGGGACGGCATTTTGTGTTTTACTTAATTAGTAATCGTTAATAAGAAATGTCTGATGTGTGTGTTGGTGTAATATAAAAACACTTAAAAAATTATGAAATATTCAAACAATATCAATAATAAACAGTTATCTGTATGTAATAATGTATTTAAAACAATAGGTAACGCACCTATCTAATAAGATTATTATCACAGATTTTAGATAACTTTATAAGATAATGCTTGCATCCTAAGAAAATGTTCTACACAACACATAGGTACCAAGTGTAGTATTATAATATGTAAAAAGAAAATTACACGGTTTTTTCAAAATGCTATTATGATTGTTTCTAGGAATTAATGAAAAAAATATGTATACAGAGTAAATTAAGAAATAACCACAAAAATGTACCAGATTTAATTAATTTTCTTAGCTTTATCAAACTAGTCTTGTTACAGTAACTTGTAAAATAAGTTAATCCCAATACTCATTTACATAGGTAGGCAAATCACTAGACATCATTTTAAAACACAATACATTTGTAACCACACCAGTCATGCTTTTGTTTTATTTATTCATGCATAACTGACAGTCTGATATTTCAAGTGTGATGGCAATAAGTGTTTCGATTTGTTTGATTTATATTTAATGTTTAAAAATATACTCACTAGACGTTTCAACAACGATCAGTCCAACATAAGAGGTACAATCAATATGGTAATCATAATTGTTGACATCTCCAAAATACATTTTTGATGAAGTTACATTTCTGAAATAAAAATTTGATTAGAATAATTTGTGGAATTTGTTAAATAGATAATCCTAATCAGTATTTAAAAAGATAAATTTTGTTACCCCAGGTATCCGGGTATTAAGACCTAAAGTTATAGTTTTTCCCCATCGGTATAATATAGATTTAATTGATTCGTATTCAAATTTAATGAAAGCACTAATTACATATTGCTGCATATCATGGTGACAATGAAATGGTGAAAGTTACTTTTTTTTCCAAAAGTATTACTAGACCTTATTATTAAGAAGTACAAAACATAAATACCTAGGTTATAAAAATACATGATATAAATAATCGATAATGACAAATGTCTGGCAATTAAGAAAGACTCTAGGACGTACACATGTTTAATTACGAAAACTCAAGATACTATTTAAATAATAACTATGACAACTTAGGTCTTAAGTGTTTAGATAGGTACTATTTCATAAGTTTTTTTAATTATCTCTTGCAGGCTACAAAAATGTTCCCAGAGAACAAATCATCATGATATTATATTGAAAAATATCACTGTTGTGTCAAAATGCAATTATAAAATTGTGGATAAACTTACATTTATATAATATATACTATATAATTTTACACAATGTCAATACAACACTAATCAAACAAAATAAATCAAAAGATTTTAAACTAGCACATACTATTTCCGTAGAGGATACCTACTGCTCAAATAAATGATGTACTGTTAGCTGATATACATTTTCAAAAGCCATAATGCTGTGTGGAAACAATAATATAAATGCTTATAACTGAAATTAAATAAAATTAATACACATTAACTATTATAATATCTATACTTACTAATTTAAACTGTAGATGATTCAGACACAATAGGTTTATTTAATGCCTGATTCGTGTTGATGAATACCAATCAGAAGTTTGATAAGAATTACCTCAAGTTGTTGGTTACAAATAGCAGTTATTATGTATATTTACTTTGTATGTATATTCATGTGTTGTTCAGGCCCAGGATGTAGACTAAAATATAAAATAACTTTTATAAAAATATAGTTAAAAGTTTAGATACTGTTGTTTATCATAACCTACCAATAACACATTATTGTAATATTGCAACACTACACAACTACCGTATTTCAGATTGTAAGTCTTTAAAAGTGATTGTTGTAGGTAGTAATAACTTGAGGTTCAGTAACACATTGTTTTTTCAATGTTTTTCGTCTCCCTTGATTCATTATTGTCAATATTGCACCTAGAAATATTTAAACAGTAATGTAAAATAAAATCTACATAGTAAGTGGATAATGAAGGTTTATGAAATCCATCCTGATAGTCACATCGGAACCAACTAATTTATTTTTTCAAAAAATTGTAAGTATCATAGACATATGTCCTAAACATTTTTACTAAAACTAACAAAATTAGAGTGTTGGTCATTGACAAACGCTTTAAAATTTACAGAAATGTAACATCTCAAGAGCCTCAGTTTCAAAGTTAGACATTTTTGTCTTGAAAAATTCAAATAAAAAAATCATTTAATCCAGGAGTTATTTCATATTTAAAGCAACTCTTGTTAAAGTTCTTACATATGGACAAATGGTAATGAGAAGTAGATTGTTAATGCTAATTTTTTCATACAATTTGTGTAACTGTTCATGAGGGTTTCTCGTGTTGCTCATTGTTTAAGATTGTACTACTGGGTGAAAAGAAATGTATTTCAAGATGAAATTGAATTTCCATTCTCATTCTTCAATTGTAGGCGTATACAATTTTTCTCGGTATTTCTTCAAACCAAACTGAAGTACCTAAATCATATTTATATAATTTTAGTAATCATACAGACAATTATATACAGGACTATTCTTTTATCATTGAACACTCATTATTTCAAAAAGTATTAATGGTTTTGAAAATATTTTTTGTATAGTTTCAAGTTGTTTATTAAAAAATCATGTTTTTAAATTTTTTCTAAGTTTTTACTTTTTTGAATAACATGGAATTTTAATTTCATATTCCAAAGCAGATTTTTTTTCTAAGTATTTTGATACATACAAATCGAATTTGGGACGAGTAGTTTATGAGTTATAAGTATTTAAATTTTAAAGTTTAGATAGTCGGTGAGGAGGGGTACGAGGTACCCCGTAAAATATTTATCCACTACTACGCTTGTCTAAACTTCAAATACTTATAACTCATAAACTACTCATCCTAAATTTGATTTGTATGTTTCAACATACTTAGAAAAAAAAATCTGCTTTGGAATATGAAATTAAAATTCTATGTTATAGCAAAAAAGGAAAAAAAAATAAAAAAAATTTAAAAACATGATTTTTTAATAAAAACGTTTTTTTTTGACAACTTGAAACTATGAAGAAAAATATTTTCAAAAACATTAATACTTTTTCAAGATAAATTCAATGATAAAAAAAAACGCCATAAATATAAAGTTAAATAAAATTGTTTGATTAAATCTTACAAGGAATATTGAATATCTAGATTTTTCAATAGGAAATTATGATGATGTTCCAGGATGTAGTCAATACTATCATGTAAATGTAGACAAAATTTAAAAATATTCTATTAAATAATTATTATAAATGGATCTCTATATAAAAAATATTAATAATCATATGAACTTACCAGGTGAACAAGTTAATAGAAGACCTGAAATGTATACAGTATTATTAATATTCAGTTTAATGAATATTCAAAAAATGATACAAATTTGAGAAAATAACATAGAGAAATTTGCTTTATCAATAATCGTGATTTGTTAAATTTTGATAACAAATTATTAAATATAATTGCGGTAAGGGTCAGGGACGGTTACCAATTTAAATGTTGGACATACAATTGAGGTTATGTTTATAGATTTTATCACGGTCTTAAAACCATAGATAATAGCATAGACATATGAGACAGTGTCTCTAGACGCTCGTAATAAAAACGGTTTATATCAATACAACTATCATGGATGAAAAACACGGACTAAGATATTTTAGTCCGTGCTGAAAAATATCATATCAGTTTGGTTTGGAATAAACAACAAATTACATTACCACTGGCCGCTTAATTTAAAAATATTAAAATTTTTAATATTATATCACAGAATAAATCAAGAATCAGAATAAATTACTTTTTAAAAGTAATTACTAATTTCTATCGAATAATGCGTTACAGTTTCGAATTATTAGTTACCTACCTACCTATTGCGAATTGACAAAAAAATATATGTATAATGTCGGTATCATTATGTTTACCAATCTAATAACATATAATATATAATATATTTAATTTTTACTCAGCACAGTTCAGTTTTCAATGGATTTGACATTTGAAATGTCTAATTGCACCGTAAATCACGAGAACAGTTAATTAAATTTATTATTTATTTGTTTCTTTTAAATAGGTTGTCTATGAATATAGCTTGTGTGGAAGACTACATTTTATATGATCCTACTATTTTAAATTTTGAACATCTTTATCATTACATGTACGCATATCTTTAAATTACAAGACACCTACAAATTAGTAACTCCAATTAATAAAGTGTAATGATGATCAGGAAATTAAAACACATCGAATTAATTTGTTTTTTATATTTAAAATAAGTATTAGTTAATTAGTATTTATTTTGAGTATTAATTTAAGTACTGCGGTTGCTGCTGTTGCGGTTGCGGTTGCTGCTGCTGAGCAGCCAGGGCAGCCTCCTCCCTTAATTTTTTTGCCAGAGAGATGGCCGCTTCTGCGGCTTTCTCTGCCCTGGCTGCTCTCTTTGAAGCCTCAGCGGCAGCATCTGTGGCCGCCGCAGCGGCGCGCTTTGCGTACTCGCAATTTTGGGCGGTATGCCCCCTCTTGAAACAAACTATGCATTCTAGAAAATCAAAGGAATCAAAATTAAAACACATCCATGATAAGTAAATAACCAATTAGTTGGTATCATATGATAATATATACTTACTATTTCTGTTGGGGGCTTTACCGCCACCACGACCGCCGCCGCCACCACGTTTGCCGCCGCCACCACGATTGCCGCCGCCGCCGCCGCCATAATTATATATATATGTAGACATCTAAACATAAGTTAAATTATAGGCATAAAGTTTATATAATAGGTACATGAGACAAAATAATTCAATATTTATACACTATACCTACTGTCTATACTACAATTAGTTAGTTATTTTTATCAAATTAATGTTGTTATTTTGGAATATAAATATTACGATGAATGATTTCGATTTTAAAAATAGAAATAATAAATTTAACAATATTTACAACATGATCAATATTAGTTGTATATTCAACCACAATAGGTACGCTGAAAGTTAAATACTTGGTTATCCTATTTACCAATTAATGTAATAAATTTGAATTTATACTAACCAAGGAAAAATAACTGTTATTTTTAAATTGTACAGAATTAAGAGGATGTAACACCGACATTTGTTGTCTCCGTCTTACAAGTGCATAACATAGCACATTTACGCTCAGCAGAACACGTGTAGCTTCGTCAGTTTGAAAATTAGAGTGAATTGACCTATTATGAAACTTAATGGTAAGAACATTATCTATGTTTGTATGTTGGTTTTTTACGATAGTTAAATTTTTTAGCAAGTTATACGTATACAATATACCATAAATTAAAAATGCTCATAACTCACTTAAAAATTTAACCAACATACAAACACAGATAATGTTCTTACCATTAAGTTTCATAATAGGTCAATTCACTCTAATTTTTAAACTGATGAAGCTACACGTGTTCTGCTGAGCGTAAATGTGCTATGTTTATGCACTTGTAAGACGGAGACAACAAATACCAGTGTTACGACCTCTTAAATTAGTCTTAAATCTTAATACTACATATTTGTATACAAAATTAAACCAATAATAATAAATCAAATTGTGTTTCGTAATAATATTATTGATGTAAAAATTAAATTATTAGCAATACAATGTGTCATGACAATACTTGTTAATCAAACCAACCAATGTCAAACGATTTCAAAAACCAAAATTAATAATGATTTAATTAAATTGTGTAAAGTAATTTGATGTAATACAGATTTAAAATACAACACGTCCTATACATTGAAGAAATCTCGAAGCAACAAAAAATATTATTGAATGCAAAAGAAATATTTTATTTTTTAAAAAATGTATTTCGTCAAATTGTATTCTTTTAAATATTAAAACGTATTAAAAAATTGAATAGGTACAATCATTAGATTTATTTAAAATGTAATCGGTGTATAAAGATTCGTAAAATATTAAATATATCATATTATACTGGAGTATTAATAAAATAGTTTTAATACTATTCAACATTTTACTTACGACTTTTGAGTGTTGCGATTGAGAAAAAAAGAGTTGACTGTTGAGTGTTGACTCCTTGAGACCAAATTGCAGAATGAATGTTGTCCAGGCAAGGCTCACCTCAACGCCTACGCGGCGGCGGCGGCGGCATAATAATATAATATTTATTAATAGCGGCCAACGATCGCATTTAATTTTGACAAATTCCCCATACATGTATTGACCATTTTGTGGTTTATCTAGCTATTTTTGAATTATTTCCCCCTATTTTCGGCCGTCGATCATCGCTTATTGTATATTATAATATTAATTATATTTTTAAATTGAATTATTCTTTCTAGCAAGGCACGGTCCCGAGTCCTGACGATTTATTATTGTCATTGTTATTATTATTCAAATAGAATCCGTTTTAAATAAATAAATTATGTTCCCTATACAACACTAAATGTATTATTTGTTATACTGTTATGGTTATTACAATGAATACCTACTTGCAGTCTGCAGTATTCATTTTGTGGTAGGCCTATATTCTTATTATTAAGCCGCATTCCTACGACTGGTGTACTTGGCCAATCTTTCTTGATAATTGTCCACTCTTCCGAGTTTTGAGGAATCTTAGAAATTATATTTACAATGATAATGTGCTTATTTTTCATCTCAGTGGGTTTCCTATAGGCTATAACCTACTAAAATAAAAATAGTTTTAAAATAAGATTTAAAAATATTATAACAGACATTTTTTTAAAAGAAAAATGTTATTTAACAGAATCAGAATTCGTAACACGTCGATGGACAGTTTCGTGGCCGCAGTGGAAAAAAGACGAACTTTAAAACGTCAATTGTCATTACTGCTATAGCCAGGGCCGGATCATAGCTTTTTAACACCCGGGGAAAATTAAAAAAATACGCAGGGATCTCAGGGAGATGACCAGAATTAGTATTTTTTTTTTTTTAATCAAGCACCCTCACACAGTATTGCGAGGAACTGAGGACCAACATTTACAAAACCTTTCCAAATATACTGCAGGACCAATCATTTATATACTACAAATAATTTGAACGATTTTAACTTAAAAATGAAACATTTTAAATTTTAAAATAATCACGTATTATAGTTTTAGAAGCACTTCTTAATGGTGTATTTAAAGCTAAAATTTGGTCAATATTTCTAAGTTTCAGGTTTAGAATAAATAATATTGATGATAATAACATGAGCAAGTAACAATTTTTCTAGAAATACGTAATAATTACGTATTTAATTTATATTTTCAAGGTTAGTGATCGTGATGCTGTACATTTATTGTCAGCATTCATTGAAAGTGTTTCTTTGGACCCTGCCCTTTATGTAATCAACCGAACATCTATAAAAAATGCACGACAAAGTGTTAGAGAAAAAAACGCTGAAAATGTGAGGTCAGATTTTTTAAATTTGAATGTAGATTTTGCCATTGTTCACTGGGATGGAAAAATACTTTCTGACTTCGGAGGACACGGAAAAGTCGATCGTTTGCCAATAATTGTAACAGGTCCTAATTTTGAGCAACTTCTTGGTGTTCCCCAAATTCCATCTGGTACAGGATTAGAAATGTCATCTGCTATATTCGATACTCTTGAAAAATGGTCATTACTTGATAAAGTTCAGGGATTTGTATTTGACACGACGTCTTCAAATACAGGCAGATTTAACGGAGCGTGTGCTCTGCTAGAACAACGACTGGAAAGAGATGTTCTTCACTTAGCATGTCGTCATCATATTTTTGAGTTGATTCTTCAAGCGGCTATAGTTGAATCAAAATTACATATATCATCCGGACCGGATATTGCAGTTTTTAAGCGTTTTAAGAATGCATGGAATGGAATAGACACCAAAAATATTTTTGTATGGAGCTCAAATGAAATGTTAAAAAATATTTTGTCACCAGTGCGTCAAGAAATGTTGTCTTTTTGTTTAGAAATGCTAACAGTAAAACAACCAAGAGACGACTATGAAGAATTTTTGAAACTTGTTATTATTACACTTGGTGAAACACCACCAGGTGGAATAATAATTCGTAAGCCTGGTGCGTGTCATCAAGCAAGGTGGATGGCTAAAGCAATCTATTGTTTGAAGATCTTTTTACTAAGATTAGAATTTAAGTTGACAAAAACCGAAGAAAATGCTATCTGCCGAGTCTGTGCGTTCATTATAAAAATTTATATCAAGTCATGGTTTACAGCAACAAATGTAAGTGAGGCCCCTTTAAACGATATTGATTTAATACGTAGATTATTTGAATATTCGATTGATGATGAGCATATAGCTACATCATAACAAAGTTCTTAAACCATCTATGGTACCTCAGTAACGAGTGTATGGCATTTTCTATTTTTGATGAACGAATATCCATTGAAAATAGAAGACTGATTGCAGTTAAACTCAAAGGCTATGGAAACATGAATCAACCATGTGAAGAACTAGTGGAAGAAGAAAATGTTCAATATAAATTGGTTTTAAAAATAGAAAACGTTACGGACTTTTTAACGAAAAAGTTCCCGGAATATTTATTAAATCGCCAGTCTCTAAAATTATTTAAAAGACTTGGGATAAACTTGTCATTTTTGGAAATTGATCCAACTGAATGGAAGAACAATACCAATTATAAATTTGGAAAGAAAGTGGTTGATGCATTGCATATAGTGAACGATACTGCTGAAAGAGGTGTGAAACTCATGGAAGAGTTTAACGAAAAATTCACCAAAAATGAAGAACAAAAACAATGTTTACTACAAGTTAGTATATTAAACAAAACTTTTTTGAAATACAAAAAAATTAAAAATATTATTATTATTTTTTTTAGGTTATACAAAAATACAGAAAAACGTATCCAGAATGTTCGAAAAAATCAATGCAGGTTCAATTTCCATGAATTTAATGTATATTATATAGTTATTGTAAATATTTATGTAAGATATTTAATTGTATACTTGAATAATTAAAAGATATAATATAATAACCATAATAAAATCAATTTTAGCTAATAAATTAAATAATTTGTATTTTGCTATTTTCGTGCAAAAATACTAGATTTACAAGAAATGTTAATTTATACTTTTTTATAGACAGTAATTAACGCTACAATAAATGTTCTAAACATTTTTACGATAGGGTCAATATTTTTTGAGTTAAATTGGAAAAACCATAAAACTACCCTCTTTGATCATTTTTCATCCCTCTTGCGGCACGGGAAGGATGTAAGTCATGATAATCAAATTTGGCACAAATTATTTTCTCATAACACTTAAAAAAATGGGAGGGTCCTGCATCAACATTTTTAAATTTAAAAAATAAGGACCAACCTAATACCTACACCTAATATAAATTTTTTTTAAACAATTTATTATTAACTGATTATATAGCTAGGAAACCCATATTTCTATTTTTAATATTATATTTGTTGATTATTATATACTATATAGCTAGGAAAGCCATACGTATACCTTATAATTTTATACTTTTTTTTTAAACTTTTTTATTTATGTTGAAGAAAACATTGTAATAAACTATTATAAATAACTATAGTTACATAATATTAGTATATATTATAGTTTT